AGATTTTCTCCGTGTCTATGTTCTGGATGCGCGAGGACAATAAAGTTTTGAGGTTTTACAACTACTTCCGGGGGCAGAGTTGCAGTGACATGTGCACTGCGTTGCCCTAGCACCAATTTAAAACAGAAATGGCGGACAGAGACACAGGGCGAACATTGCCAGTAATCAAAGATGCACCCGTTACATTTAAATCTGATGTCTTGACTAATTTCGGCTTTTATGAGCTAGACGGAAAGCTCGACAAGACGCACACTCAGTGGCAGCTGGCCACTAGAGGGCGATAGGGTGCCCCCCCCCCCCCCCCCAGTTTTCCCCAGTGTTTTTAATTTTTTATTAAAAAAAATAAATATATACAATTAACAATAATCACATATTCTAAGTTAATTGTGTGTTTTGTAACAAAAACAAATCATACATATATATCTATATCATTGGTGAGAAGCTCCCTGCCGAGCGGTGGAGGCGACAGAAAGATCGCACAAACAGCAGTGAAGCAGCCAGCCAATTGCTGACAAGAAAATCAAACGCATAGGAATGGGAATGCATCCAATCAGCGTCGTCGATTCGGAAGCCCGAAGGGCGATAGAGCTACCGCCCAAGGCTGTTCGTTGTTGTTCGGGTTGAGCTCGACTCGAGCAAGGTACTTATTTGTTGGGGACGCAGATGTAGTGATGGACAAGCATGGATACCGGATCTCAGCAGCCACTGAATCCAGTTAGGTCTCTTCTCCAGTATCCGTTCGAGAGGAGAACAATGGTTGTAAAACGTAATGTCAAAGAGCTTGGACCACATCAGCCCGACGTAAGGAGAGAGGTAAACTGTACACACGAGGCTTCTCCCGAAATTGGTACACCAGGAAGGCTTGGCTAGCTGGATGCAATCACGCTCATACTTTATTTTGCTTTCCGTGTTTGTCATTCAAAACGACTGGGACAGATAAGGCATGGATTGAGTCAGGAGTTACAGATATGAAACATTTTTCTGAGAAGGTGAAGAAACACGAGTCATCCCGGGCACACATGGACAACACGGTAAAGCTAGCCATGCTAGGCAGAGCTAACGTTGCCATGCAGCTCGACGAGGGAAAAGGAAGAAACGGAGGACGTTTGGCCAGGGAGAACAACAGCAGCTGGGTGCAGAGGTAAGCTGTACATTACATTTCTGTGAACAAGACAATCAGAATCAGAAATCCTTGGTTGTCCCACAAACAGGGACATTTGTTTAATAACATGGACATTGTTTAATGTGCAATAACTGTAAAAACTCATTTCAACACACATACTTATTATACATATTTAATCATGTAAATGTGTATTTCATGTAAATTTGTACATACATCAATCTGATTCCATTTTACTTGTTACACTTCTGCTGCAGCAAACAAATTTCCCAGCTTTTGGGACAATAAAACATTTCTGATTCTCAATTAGATGTTTTTACTTCAAATGTAAAAACATCTGATTGAGAATCAGAAATGTTTTATTGTCCCAAAAACTGGGAAATATGACATTTGTAAGAGGATACTGATGACATTATTTCCTATGAAAGTGTTTCCTATGTACTTATCTGTTTTTTTTTTATTTATCATATGACAGGTTTGTGACACCATCCTGAGCCATACAAAAGAGCAATTCTCTTTTACCAAGCACCTCGTTGCTGCCACTCTGCTACAAAGTGACTTGTTTGTGCAACACACAGCACAGTTCCCAGATGCAGCTCTGGCGACCGCTGTAGAGGCCTACCTCATGTTGAACAAAGCTAAGCTCGGAACAGAGCTATCCCTCATCTATGAGAACAATGAGTTCAGGGCTTGCACTGGTGCACTGACTCTCTTCCAGTTTTTCATGGAGAACAATCTTCAAAGCATGTTCACAGATACTGTCGCTCTTTTGAAGATTCTTGTCACCACACCCATGACCACAGCCGAATCAGAAAGGTGCTTTTCTACTTTAAAGAGGATTAAGACTTTCCTTGAGGAACACCATGACACAGGATGGGCTGAATGCTCTTGCCATGCTCTCCATGGAAAAAAAAGCTTGTCACAAACATTCCTGACTTCAATAAAAAGCTAATCGAGAGCTTTGCCACTCAGAAGGACAGAAGGGCAAAATTTCTGTACAAATGAGGTATCACACACACACAAATGCATCCACTTTATCTTGGTATAAAGTTGACCTTGGCACAACACTCCAGAAATATTTAACAGTGTAAATGTCTGTCATTTTGTCTAAGTGGTGTTTACTACCATTACTGTAACAGTGACCTGCTCATAATTTTTCGTGTTCACTCAAATGTTGAAATTAAACAAAATGTTTTTGTTACTTGCCTCTTGCATTGCCTATTTACCATTTATGGTCATGTTATTTTATGTGCAATTTAATGCAGTATTTTTCAACCTTGGTCCGCAAGGCAGCGTGCCAATAGTCAGACACACCTGGATTAATCAGTTTGTCTAATGATGTAAGACAGGAAATAAGAGCTGTGCTTAATTCAGGAAATAGTGAAGTTGTGCACAAAGCTCAGAAAGCACAAGTTTGTTTAAAAATAAAAAATAGCACAGCCCCACCAAAAATATTTTTCACCAGCCGCCACTGTTCATATCTGTATCAGTTGGTTCCTCCCCATTATTATTTGCTTCTGCTTGAGCATATGATCTAGGTTTTATATCATCTCCTGTAATGACATCATTTATTCTTGAATATTGCTCTAGTTCATCCACTCGTTTTTGCAAAATATAGATTTGTTTGTCCTTCTCAACATTTTGTTGTTTCAGTTGTTTTACTTCTTGTACCAAATCCATTATACTTTTCTGTTGTTGCCTGACTGTTTTAAGTTCTTCAGCCAGAAAGTCAAGTGATTTTTTTTTTATTTCATCCACTTCGTCATTATTAATCCTCCTTGGTCCCATCTTGAAAAACTGTTACTATCAGCAGTTAAACCTGTTTCTTTGTAGCTGGTAGCTTGTGTTGAGGCCAGCAGCTAATGACTCACCCAGTTGCTAATTGCTGATGTTGAATCCTTTAGCCCAGTTTCCTGAGTTGATGCCTGTAGCCTGTGGCTTTCCCAGATGCTGGTTGCTGGTATTTTTTCGTCGTCGTCGTCGTCTTCCTCCGCTTATCCGGGTCCGGGTCGCGGGGGCAGCATCCCAACTAGGGAGCTCCAGGCCGTCCTCTCCCCGGCCTTGTCCACCAGCTCCTCCGGCAGGACCCCAAGGCGTTCCCGGACCAGATTGGAGATGTAACTTCTCCAACGTGTCCTGGGTCGACCCGGGGGCCTTCTGCCGGCAGGACATGCCCGAAACACCTCCCCGGGGAGGCGTCCAGGAGGCATCCTGACCAGATGCCCAAACCACCTCAACTGGCTCCTTTCGATCCGGAGGAGCAGCGGTTCTACTCCGAGTCCCTCCCGAATGTCCGAGCTCCTCACCCTATCTCTAAGGCTGAGCCCGGCCACCCTACGGAGGAAACTCATTTCGGCCGCTTGTATCCGCGATCTCGTTCTTTCGGTCATTACCCAAAGCTCATGACCATAGGTGAGGATTGGGACGTAGATCGACCGGTAAATCGAGAGCCTGGCTTTCTGGCTCAGCTCCCTCTTCCCCACGACAGATCGGCTCAGCGTCCGCATCACTGCAGACGCCGAACCAATCCGCCTGTCGATCTCCCGATCCCTCCTACCCTCACTCGTGAACAAGACCCCGAGATACTTAAACTCCTCCACTTGAGGTAGGACCTCTCCCCCGACCCGGAGGTGGCAAGCCACCCTTTTCCGGTCGAGAACCATGGTCTCAGATTTGGAGGTGCTGATCCTCATCCCAGCCGCTTCACATTCGGCCGCGAACCTACCCAGCAAGAGCTGAAGGTCAGAGCTGGATGAAGCTAGGAGGACCACATCATCCGCAAAAAGCAGAGACGAGATTCTCCTGCCACCAAACTCGACACACTCCACACCACGGCTGCGTCTAGAAATTCTGTCCATAAAAGTGATGAACAGAACCGGTGACAAAGGGCAGCCCTGGCGGAGTCCAACCCTCACTGGGAACAGGTCCGACTTACTACCGGCTATGCGGACCAAACTCACGCTCCTCTTGTAAAGGGACTGAATGGCCCTTAACAGAAAGCCACCCACCCCATACTCCTGGAGCGTCCCCCACAGGGTGCCCCTGGGGACACGGTCATAAGCCTTCTCCAAATCCACAAAGCACATGTGGATTGGTTGGGCAAACTCCCATGCCCCCTCCATCACCCTTGCAAGGGTATAGAGCTGGTCCACAGTTCCACGGCCAGGACGAAAACCACATTGCTCCTCCTCTATCTGAGATTCAACTATCGATCGGACCCTCCTCTCCAGTACCTTGGCGTAGACCTTTCCAGGGAGGCTGGTATTTTTTCCTTTTTAGCAATTAGTGTTTAGTAAAACATGGGCTTCCGGGCCTATTGGCCTATGATATATTCCAGAATTGTCTGGTGGTGGCCTGGTAGCTGCTGCTGGCCTGGTGATGGCTTGTAGGCTGCTGCTGGCCTGGTGGTGGCTCGTAGGCAACATCAACTGCAACAGAGTTGTACGTAACAATAACCGCACATTATATAAGGAACGACTGGCAGCTTGTATCACATGTGCTCCAGACAAGAGCTCTGTATGAGAGTCACACGGGTGCTAATCTGGCGGAGTTACTGTCTGAAGTTGTGGATGAATGGCATCTAGCAGACAAAGATGTCGTGCTGGTAACAGACAACGCATCTAACATGATACGTGCAGCTGAAGTTGGGAAGTTCCCTTAAGTAAAATGCTTTGCGCATACACTGAATCTCGCTGCACAGCGTGCACTTAAACTGCAGACTGTTTCCATACTTCTGGGCAGAATCCGCCACGTGTCAACATTTTTTCATCGCAGCACTATTGCAAACCACCAGTTGCAATCCAACCAGAAACTTATAGGCCTGCCAACCCATAAACTGAAAACTGATGTGGCAAGAAGGTGGAATAGCGCACATGATATGATGGAGAGGTACTTGGAACAGCAACCTGCAATCCATGCTGCCCTGCTGAGTCCTCAGGTTGCAAAAGATGATGCTGAACATTACACTCTCAACAAAACAGAACTGGAGAACGCAGCACATGCAGTGAAGGCATTAAGACCAATGAAAGATGTCACTACATTGATGTCAGAGGAGAAGAATCCAACAGTATGTCTGATTTCATCTCTGTATGCACAGCTCCTTCAGGACATGTCAGACACCACTGGTGACTCACCTGTGATCCGTGAGATTAAGAATGCCATCAGAACAGATATCCTAAAGAGATACAACTCTGAGGAAGAGAAGAAGTTGCTTTATACAGCCTCTGCTCTGGATCCACATTTTAAGGGACTGCCTTTCCTCACAGCAGATGAGAGATTGAAGATCTACAGAACTGTCGTGACAGAGGCTGCAGCATTGGAGGTAATTTAGTTTCACCATGTAAAAATGCACTTGCCATGTAAAATCTTTTCAAGTAAAAGAAAATATTAAAATGTCTTAATTGTAATGTTATGTGAAACTTTTATAAGACAGATTTTTATTTATTTATTTATCTTTTTTTTCTTTTTAATGATATTTTATTGCATTTGTCAATGAAAAATGCTGCATGTTATGCTACCCAGTTCCACTACTTCCGAAATAACATTATTTCCTTTCTTACTGCATAATTGGATAACTCATTAATTCAAGGAGATGATTTAAGTTCAGAAAGGAGTGGAGCTGGGCACAAGCATAAAGTTTTAATAACTGATATGTGCTAACTGCTGTTTTTTGCTGTCTGCTTTTTGTTCACAAGGAAACTGAAGCAGATGAAATGCCTGCTGGAGCCATGGATTCAGGAATCCAGGAAGAAGACATGCTGTGTGTGGAGGACAACATGCACAGGAAGGACAATGTTCCCTCCTGCCAATCTGCTGCCAAAAGGAAGGCCTCATCATCACTACTCGTGACTTTGCTTGGACATACATTCACTGACAATGAGGCTGCAGTGCAAAACAAAACCAGCTATTCCAGGGCTGAGGAGCAAGTGGACAACTACTGCAGAGCTCCATCTCTGCCTCTCACAGAAGATCCCTTGAACTGGTGGCATGGCCACGAGTTCACCTTTCCTCTCCTGTCCAAGCTGTCAAAGAGATACTTGTGTATCCCAGGGACAAGTGTGTCTGCAGAGAGGGTCTTCTCCACTGCAGGAGATGCTGTCACTTCTCAAACCAGAACATGTCGATCACCTAGTGTTCTTACACAAAAACCTTGAAATACCAAAATGCTGAAAAGTGAGCAGTTATATTGTACAGTCAGGTCAAAAGAGTCGATCCTCAGACTGATTATAGGTGTAGGCTAGGCCTATGCAATTTACCATATTTTGGGTTTACATTGTTCATTATGATTTATATTTAAATCTGTGTTAGAAGTGATATGTGATTCTAAAAAAATGAATCTCAGGTTATCACGTTTCCTTGTCTTCAAGCTGCTAGACATGTTTTACCCAGCACACTTTGAATGTAGATAAAGGAATTGTTTTGTTTAAAAATTTGCACTTTTTAATGGGTAGGCTTCTCACAAAAACTGTGAAATACCAAAGTGCTGAAAAGTGAGCAAGTTATGTCAGGTCAAAAGGGACTGATTATAGGTGTAGGCTAGGCCTATTCAATTTATTTTGGGTTTACATTGTTAAGATTTATGTGTAAATCAGCACACTTTAAAAATTGTTGCTCACTATAGTGAATGGATGTATGTTGTTTTTCAGGGATATCGAAATAAAGAAACGATTCTACTGCTTTTATTAAGTAAAGAAAAATTGTGTGAAGAATCGTGATGCATTTCAGACTCAAATCAAATCTTTAGGCAGATAATCAGAATCGGATCGAATCGTGAGGCAGGTAGAGATGCACACCACTACTATCATCGCTGCAAAGGACCCACCCCCACCACACAGCGAACCACAAAAGGAGTAACAAATTTAAAGCAGCTGCAACACTTTTCAACCTGGAAGAAAATGAATGATTATAACAGGAGTCAAGTCAAAACAACTATACTATGATTCAAAATCAAAGGATAACGATTAAACCGATTAAGCAAAAGATATAAAAGAAAATAAAATTAACTGAGCTGATTACCAGGACATCAATCAACAATGGTCACAGAATTCGTAGTTTACACTGTTGATATCATAACGAAACCAGCTGTATCAGGGGAAATATGAACTAAAGCATCTGTCATGAGCCTGTCAACCATTCTTTTACCACAAACAAGGCTTAAACATAGAACAAACATTGTCACAAAAGCCGGTACCAGTTCCTTTTTGACAGCCAATCTATGAAGCATGGGAGGCGTCAGGGGCTTAGCAGCTCTAATTGGGGCAGAGCCAAGGGTCACAGGGGTCATCAGCAGGGTTTATGTGGGACTGCAGTGGGGGCAGAGCAATGAAGATCATGTTGTTCCTCCCAACTGCTGCTGTTTTCACTCGTTCCGTCAGATGCTGAGGGGCGGTTCCAGGGTAGAGTGTGATCACCAAACATCAGCAATGGTGTGGTGGATGGACCCTGCAAGCTTAAGGCAGATCGTTTACTTATCTGCCGTCCTCGGTGACCCCTCATGGGGATGGTTCAGTCGTGGTGGCCCCGCTCAGCATTTCCGCAGCAGTGGGAGGGATGAGATGAGTGACCTTGATGCCCCATCTGCATTGGCGGTTTTAAACAGGGGTCCACAGGGGCCTGGGCCCCTCTAGAACCGACCCTGGCCCCTGTTATGGCCCCTGTGCTGAAGAGATCAGAGTTTATTTCCCTGTGCTGCCTCGGAGACGGGAACTAATGTGCTGCAGCGTTTCACACGGAGCCTTTAGAGCGCAGCACACCCTGTGGACAGAACTGTTTACCCGGTGGATTTTTGAATAAAAGATTAAAAATAGTTTAAATGGGACCCGAAGAAATTCTTGAGCACGACTAACGGAAAAGACGCTAAGAGACGAAGGTAAGCAATACAGTTTATTTTCCTGACATCAGTGTTTTGATCGTAGTCGCGTGTTTCTGTCATTTACTTTTAAGTTCCTAACTGAGTCTATCCACAGTTAATACTGACTTGTTGTTCCTTTGTAACATTAACTGTAAAATAAAAATGAAGTTGCTGCATTTTAAGCCTTAGACACGTTGAGATTAGATCACAGTATTCATTTATCTATGACTTTCTCGCAGCACTGACTGGAAGCATCAGCGGCCATGAAAAGAAAAAGGGACATTTTGTCCTTTTTTACCGCTGTTAATAAAGAACAGCGTAGACAGAGAGAGGATGAAAGTCACGAGGGAGCTGAGAAGCAGGATGAAAGAGAGAAGGAGGAGTTGGTTGGAGAGGAACCAGAGAGGTCAGAGGCTGTCCACCCTGAGAGTGAGGAGGAAGATGTAGGCTGTGAGGGAGAGAGTGAGGAGCAAAAAGAGGGACATCTTCTGTCATGTGCACCGTGTACTCTACCGTCAGGTTTGTGGGTGTTGAACAACCCCTCTGTGATTGCAGCTCATATTGTGTGTAAAATGCATTTGAGGCATGCTGACTCTGGACCGAACTTTATGTTGTTTATATTTAATAAATAGATAAAATAAGACTCTGAATTAACTAATTATGACTTTTATCCTCATGCTAACATTTATTTTCTTTCAGATATCAGCAAGTGCAAGGGTGACCCACCTACTCAGTGTCATTTGAGGGCATTTCCAGGGACATTAATAGGAGACAGAAGATGCAGCTTTCAGCCAAGCTGGTATGAAAGTCATCCCTGGATCGAATATTCGGTTTCAATGGACTCTACTTATTGTCATGCATGCAGACATTTTAGCCCACCAAGTAGCGCAGGAAGTGTGTTTGACTCACCATGTGGATTTAGGAACTGGAAAAAAGCAACTGAGAGAGGAGACTGTTTTTTTTGGTACATGCAAAGTCTGAAAGGCAAAAATTGAAATTGTCTGAAAATTGTCTGAAATTGTGTTGTGCACATATTTTATTTGTTTGAATGTTTATTTTTCATATGTACAGTACATGTAATCTTCAAATAAAGTCACAAAATATAATAATCAACTAGAATAATTGTTTTTTACTCAAGTCTCATGTTGCGGTGAAGCATTCAGAATTGTTATCCGAGTACCATAAAAACATGCCAGTTTTACTTTCACAAGTAAACCATTACTGCATTCGCTGTAATAGTTTACTTGTTCATTGTCTTTTATTATGAATTTATTTGAATCTTATTTTAGTAAAATACAGCTGTAAAAGATCATAGATGAAAAAAGTAAAGGATAATTTTTGGTAAATTTGATCCCCAAAATATAGTAAAGAAAGAAATGAAAAAGAAGAGAACAAAAAAGTGAGTAGTTTCACAGTACTAGGAATTTCCTTTGGCAAAATTGTGCACAAGCACAAAATAGGTCATATGGCGGAGACAAAAAAGAATTTTGATATTGCCCTAATTCTTCCCTTTTTTTGTCTTGCGCCCCCATGAAAAAGTACTGGCCACACTGTGGTCCCCCTGGAAAATTTGGTCTAGAACCGCCCCTGGTTTTTGTGCAGCGTTGCTTCACTGTGTGAACGGTAAGTTGTAATCCTGCTGACAGTAATAAACTCCTGCATCTGCAGGCTGAACTCCACTGATGGTCAGAGTGAAGTCAGTTCCTGAGTAACTTGCTCTAAAACGATGGAACTCCAGACTGACGAAGTGTTGTATCAGCAATCAGGAGTTTAGGAGCTTCTCCAGATATCTGAAGATACCAGTTCATGTCATCACCTATCAGTGTGTCAGTTTTACATCTGATAGAAACAGTTTGTCCTGCAGCAGCAGACTGAGCTCCTGGAGTCTGAGCCACACTGATTTCTCCTGATGAACCTGGAAATGATAAAAATGAGCAAAAAGATGAATAAACTTTAAAGGAATTTTATATGAAGAGAAGGATGTAAAGTAGGGATGCTCCGATCCGATCACGTGACTTTTAAAAGATCGGAATCGGGTGTTAAAGATCGGATTTAACCTTATAAAACAGCAAGCATGACATTTTTAATCAATCTTGAGTTTCAAATTGAATAACAATGGCTTAATTTTGTACCAAGTTTCACTTCCTCAATAACGACATGACAACACCATACGGCAGCCGTAACGTCACACGTTTTAAAGTGGACCGTGGAATTCAGGTAGCAGTTAGCTAGCAGGTTAATGCTCGTCTCGCTCCAGGAGAGCAAAAAATGTCAGCGGTTTGGAATCATTTTAAACTGCACTTTATTTGGGAGCCTTAAAGTAAAAGTTGAGCTCAATGTAGAGCACATGGAAGAGGTGATTTACTAGTTCTTTGCAATTTGATGTTGATGTTTTATACTTGAATGGTGAAGTTCGTACACCACTTTGATTAGGCATATCTTTTGTTCGTTTTAATAAACTAGTCAGTCAAAGGCCTGAGATGTATTTTATTTTGTTACCTGACTGAATTATGCAACTACCTCTTAGAGGTGGAGGTAAGCACTTTAATTTAACTTCTATTATTGTGTTGAGCTATTTTACAAACCTTTTCTACTTTTCTATAAAAACAAATTTGTTTACATATTGTTGCACCACTGATAAGCTACAAAGATATAATTTTGTTTACTTGGTTTGAAGTGCTGCTGCACTAACAAAATGTTTCTACTTTCTTATGGTATCATGTTGGATGCAGTCATATAAATAATAATAATAAACCTAACTGGTCAATTTGGCTGCAGTCTCCCTTTTTTCTTGCTATTTTATTGTATTGCTGAAGTATCGGATCGGGACTCGGTATCGGCAGATACTCAAAATCAAATGACTCGGAATCGGATCGGGAGCAAAAAAATGTGATCGGAGCATCCCTAATGTAAAGTGTTTCTCTGTTATTTAAGATCATCATTGTAGTGAACCTGTTTCCATCCTGAAACCAAGTTTTCATCAGAGAGTCTCACCGTGAACAAGGAGCCCCAGGGTGGTCAGCAGTAGAGTCAGTGACATCATCATTGTGCTGCCGGTGTGTCGGTGTCTCTGAAAGACCTGGACAGCCACTGATCAACACTGACCTCTTAACAGCTGGGAGCAGAGAGGCAGGACACATATGCAAACACACACAGTCAGTCGGCTGATCATCAGCTCTACATGTCATATTTCTACGTCTGTGACCTGCTTTTTGTCTGAAGGAGGTAAAAGAAATGGGATCAAATGAAACCTGAAGAAAATTCTCATTGGAAAATGATCAAACACAACATTTTAGTCAGTCAGCTGATCACCAGCTGTCTCCATGTTTCCTCCTCTATGATGAGAATCTAGACTTTGATACTTGTTTATGAAAATTAATCAGTTTCTTTTTAAATAGTTTGTTATGCAGAGTTTTATTTGCACAAAAGAGTGAAATGATGTAAAACAGAACGTTATTCGTGTCTCATCTAATTAGGATCAGATTCAGGATAAATCTTCAAATCTTCTTTGCAATAATTTGTGACATTTTTTAAAAAGTGACTGGATTTTATTCATTTTCTTCTAGTCTTCCTGAAACACAAATGGTTGAGTTTTTTATTTATGTCCACCAATTTCATTCTTTTCAGTTATTTATTCATACATTAATTTTTTCTCTGATTTAACAAAAAATCATCAACTCTTTAAAATCTAAATGGTTTATTAAATTCAGCACATTTAATTATTTTTATATTAAGATGAAATATCATATTTAGTGTTTTGAAGGATGAAAGTGTTGCTACACGTGTTTATGTCATCAGTGAACTGCTGAAGCTTCCAGCTGTTAGTTTCTGTTCAGCCTGACTGAGGGAGGTTTTTGTACGACGGGTTTTCACTGTGTGAACATCCACTGGCTGTTTATATAATGAACACTCGCACAGTAATAAACTGCAGCATCTTCAGCCTGAACTCCACTGATGGTCAGAGTGAAGTCAGATCCAGATCCACTGCCTGAAAAACGATCTGAGATTCCTGATTGTCGGCGGGTAGCATCATAAATGAGGAGTTTAGGAGGTTGTCCATCTTTCTGTTGGTACCAGGATAAACGGTTGCCATTTACTCCCTGACTGGTCCTACATGAGATGGAGACGGAGCGTCCCACAGCAGAGCTCACTGCTGCAGACTGAGTCACTGTGACCTGACCTCTGGACTCTGAGGAGACAAAAGCAGAAAGCAGCTTGATGCTTTTGTGGGCTTCATTCCAGAGGGACAGATGTTCATAGAGGAGAGGAGTTGGATTCTCTGGACTTTACCTGTGAAGCAGCAGCAGAGGAGAGTCCAGATGAGGACGCAGATCAAAGTCATGGTTTTGATCAGGACGATTTCCAAGTGTTCTGTTGTGATGAAGGACAGCTGTCAGTCATCCAGTCTTCAACTCTCAGGACTATAAACTCTCCCAGAGCACTGGAGCATGGTGCTGCTGATGCAAAGTCATGCTCTATGGAAATCTGCTGACTCATTCCAACAGGATCATGGCTCAGGCTGATGATGGTTTTAAATCACCTACATTTTAAGCACGATTTTGAATCCTAATTTAAGTCTGAGATCTTCATAAAATTATCTTTAACATTATTACTTTTAACGTATAAAAAGCTCAAAATGAAACCAATAACTTCCATTAAAACCAGTAACAACACTTTTGAGACTCTGTACATTTTTACAAATGTTTCATCTTTTCTACAATATTTTCTAGTCAGCTTGTTATTTATTCATCAGAACTGAAACAAAAATTCTCTCTACTCAATATTTAGTTTTACATGATTTCACGTTTGAATACCTTTACAACCTTTCATCATGTTTAATCATTCAGGATAAATAGTATTACTGTGTTGTTGGGAATTCAAAACTAGCACAGTTAATTAAATTTAAGCTGACAAAAGTCTCATTTAGTATAAACTGGTGAGTTTGTTTGTGTCAGACTCACAGAGCCGTGTCTCTCAGAGGTTTTTGTACGACGACTCGACCAGTTTGTATCACTGTGGTACACGTTTGGTGGAGGAACCAGACTGGAGTTTGGAAGTAAGTTAAAACCTTTAAATTTTACATTTTATTTGTTATTATTGTCATTATTTAAAGAGATTTGTTGTCTTTTGAAGTAATTTTGTTAATTTTTAAAGGTTTTACAATTAATATGAATAACTAAACTGCAAAGTTTGCTTTGAAATTAAAATTTACAACATAAAAAAATGTATTAGGATTTTAAGATGAGGCCAAAAAAGAGAAAACATTTATTTATAATGATTTATTTTCTAATCATGATGATTAAAAACAGAAAGTCGTGTCTCTACAGTCAAACGTCTCTAAACAGCAGCTGAGTTAGTTTGTATAACTGTGGGTCACGTCTGGAGGAACCAGACTGGAGGTTAGAAGTTAGTTTAATATTTTTGGGTCTATTATAAAAACACATATATTTAAATACATTCCTCATTTCAGAATGCCCTCTGTACAGAGACCTTTTACAAAGTTATGTTCATTTATAGAAAACTTTTAACAGGTTATGAAAAATCTTTTTTATTTACATTTCTTGTCTTTGTTTCTATCTAATTAACTGTGAGAATAAAAAACCCATAAATAAGATTTTTTATTTTACATTTAATAATAAAATTAAATGTTTTTTCTCTTTTTATAAGATAAAACACTAATAATAAATTTCCTTATTAGAATCAAATCTGCCTTTTTAAAATGTTTTATCTTATTTCCTTTGTGATTTATTTTTTACTGTAACTCTGAAATGATTCAGATGTAAAAAGTTAAACTGCTGGATGATTTTCTCTGAGCTGATCTGCATCAGAGGTTTCTGTTAGGAAGTGAAACAAAGTGAGTGACTGTTGGAGCAGAAACACATCTGGTAGAAACTTCTTCACATACAGCATCACTTCTAGGAAGAGTTTCTGCTGTTTGACTGAAAGATGTTTAGTTCCTGTCCTCTAACCTGATTGGTGTCTCCTAGGTGATACCCGTCCCATCCTGACGGTGCTGCCTCCCTCCAGTGAGGAGCTGCAGCAGGGGAAGGCCACGCTCATGTGTCTGGCCAACAAGGGCTTCCCCTCAGACTGGAGTCTGTCCTGGAAGGTGGACGGCAGCAGCAGCAGCTGGGAGGAGGACAGGAGCCCCGTGGTGATGAAGGACGGCCTCTACAGCTGGAGCAGCACCCTGAGGCTCACTGCAGACCAGTGGAGGAAGGTGGGCTCTGTGACCTGTGAGGCCACCCAGGGCTCCCAGTCTCCAGTCTCAGAGTCACTCAGGACAGACCAGTGTTCCCAGTACTGATGGGACTCACTGTGATGCTGGTTTTACTTTGCTAATTCTTTCAGTTTGATTCATGTGGTTTTTCACCTGCTTAAATAAAGCTTGTTTTATAAGAATTAAACTCAAAATAAAGTCAGTCTCATTTGTTTGCTTTTCACTTGTTTGGTTTATAACAGATACATCTATTAAAGACATCTAGAAGGTTGTAAAACGTAAAAATCTTCTGTACCAAGTGTTGATGTTTGTGCAGGCCAAACCCAAGAATTCAAGATTATCTCTGAAAAAAAAAAAACTATTGATCCAAAATGAAAAATCTAATAAAAGGTATTGAATTTTCAGTTCATCAACAATCCTCTAAAAATCAGCTTTATCTGGTGAGACATGAGTTTAGTTAATATTTCAACTCAAAACACAAAATAATAAATAAATCAAACAGGGTGTGCAAGTTTCCAGAGTCACTTTATAGGTAAAAGTTTAGATATATAAAATAAAATCTAGATTCCTTTAAAATGCTGATCTGTTGCTGCACATCAAACTTTTTTCATTACTTTTCTTTTTTGCTGGAAACAAAATTATCTCCAGAAACATTTATTCTACAGGTTTATCTTCCTACATCTTGTTCTACAGTAAATAACTGAGATTGTCTGATGAACTAAAATAAGTCTTTGTTATTAGCTAAATACGTTCTGTTGTTAGAGTCTGAAGATGTGTAAGCTTTTATGTTTAAAATCAGCAGAAACATTTATGTTTCATTTGAATAAAATATAAACAAAGTCAGGATTAGTAAACATGTAGATATTTAATCTGACTGATCTGTTTATAATATGGTAATAACTTTAACACACAGCTTCTGCTAGAAGCTTCAGAGTTTGATCTTTTATGGCAGGGGTTGTCAGATAAATGTGTTTAAGGGCCGAAGTTTTATGCAGCAGACACCGTGAGGGCCAGATGATCTTCTAAAATAAAGAATGGTTTTTGAGTTCTGTCATTAGTATTGTTTCCCTGGATGGTACAGAACTACAACTTGTGTGTTCCTATACGTATCTGGGTATCTGGCTGGACAGCACACTTTCATTTTACATTCACATTAATTCATTACTTTCTAAAGTCAAGTCAAGAATTGGGTTTCTATACCACATCAGATCATCCTTTACTCCTTCTGCAAAGCAAACCTTGGTCAAAACTTCCCATCTTGGTTTACAGTGACATCATTTATAGGACTGTGTTGGGGTTATGGTAAGCGAATAATTTGTAAGCTTTTACTTAATTTTGGATTCTTCAATAAATTCTGTAAATATGGGAATATTTACCAATTTATTAATTAATTAAGATATTCTTAGATATCTACGGGGCACCACCCATTCTAATTAGAAAGGGAAAATCAATTGAATCCAAAATCTGATCAATCTGTCTGAAAGTTCGTGGAATCGTTAGGAGCAGAAATTTTCAACCAACACAAACAAAGTCACTTGAGGCAAAACTGAATTTTATAACATTTAATTAAACAATGGAATAATAATGTAAAACAATTTGATATAATTGGAGATGTGTGTGTGTGTAAAATGGAGGATGTCCCCAATGGATGGATTTGTTTCAGTGGTGAGTCCCCCCCAAACCCTTAAAACACGTGTGTGTGTGTGTGTGTGTGTGTGTGTGTGTGTGTGTGTGTGTGTGTGTGTGTGTGTGTGTGTGTGTGTGTGTGTGTGTGTGTGTGTGTGTGTGTGTGTGTGTGTGTGTGTGTGTGTGTGTGATGGAGGATGTATGAATGGGGTCCTTTGTTCTCACAGAGAAGTGGGTGTGTGTGTATGAATGGAGTCCTCTGTTCTCACAGAGAAGTTGTGTGTGTGAAGTTTCTCCAACTCTCCCAAACACTTAGTGACTTAAAATTTACAGTGAAACTGAACTTAAACACTTCAAAAGTTAACCAAACAACAAAGATCACTCATAAATTATTTAATCTAAAACAGAGTCGACCAGCTTGGCCATAGCTGACCGACAATGACCCAGATATCACAATAATAAACAAACAGACCTTACTTGGTGTTCTGATGGCGGTTTTGGTACGAAAGAGAAAAACACAAAGCTACTTTTAAGCAATAGCGCGGTTTTATTGTTTGTTAGGGACTATAGAGAAACGGGATAAGATAGAGACAGAGAGAAGAAGAGGAGTTGCTCATCACCAGAACAGCGAGGCGTCCCCCACTGTTTAATCTGACAGTCCTCCGTTGTTTTAATCGGCAGCTCGGCGTCATCCACTCCGACAGCCAGGTTCTGTGTTCGATCCACTTAAGCCTCCAGGCCTCGTGCGTGCTTAAGTTGAATGGATTCGTAGCAACCAGCGTGTCCTTCACCGCCAGTTAAACTGGACAAAAGAACACTGTTTCGTTTTTGTCTCCCTTTCAAAGACTCTGGAGCTGACTGTTGTGGGTTCTGCGCATGTACAGAACCCGTGCTCCGCCTCGGCGGTGACGTCATCACATTGCTTCCGTGTGCAAAGCATCATGGGAAATGAAGTGTCAGCTGGCGCTGATGTTTATTATTGCTTTTTCAGAGCAATTTAGCACAGTCTTTTGGAGAAAATCACTGCACAGTAATTTCTCACGAGGGCAGACCCTCAACAAATGCTTTCAAAAAACTTCTTCATAAACTCGATGTCATTTTAAGTTAAAAAAGTTAAAGTCCCATCAGTTGTCACACACACTGATGTGTGTGTAAAATTTGTTCTCCGCATTTGACCCATCCCCTGGGGGAGCGGTGAGCTGTAGACACAGCCGCGCTCGGGAACCATTTGGTGGTTTAACCCCCCAATCCAACCCCGTAATGCTGAGTGTCACGCAGGGAGGCATTGGGTCCCATTTTTTTCTAAGACTTTGGTATGACCCGACCAGGAATTGAACCCTGATCTCCCAGTCTCTGGGCGGACACTCTACCACTAGGTCACTGAGCTGGTTTATCACTCAACAATGAGTTTTGTCACTGGTGCCCCTTCACTGCTCATTATTGTGATCTGTAATTACTCATTAATTGGCTGTCATTCCTGCAGGTTGTTACATTTAATCAATTTTTATACAAAACAATCATCAGTAGAACCTCGTCATATCTTCACTCATTACTCATCACTTCCAAAAATCAGCGCAATTTACATTCCAGTAATTTAAAGTCTCTTACTGGAGTATTTCTCTTATCCGATGGCACCATCTAGTGGCTGACA